GATTCTCCTTGCTGTTAAACCTTAGTTACTGTCACTGCTGTCATGAGTCTCCTTGCTGGTGTCATAGGCACTAGCAATAGATTTGGTAATGACAAGAACAGTAGTGATAGTAGTAGTAGCCATCTGCTGGATCAGAAGATCAAGAATTTGGTCTCCAACCTCAAACAAATAATTTAATTTGAGAATCAAAAAGAAAAAAATAATCAATCTGTATGTGTGTCTGTTACTGGTAAGGTGGTGTAGCCACTCTAAAACTTATAACTTCCAATTGAAATATGTTACTGTTTTATGGATTACATATTTAGTTGCAGTGGATTCTGGACTTTTCAACGGTGTATGCAACACCTCCAGAAAAAGAATGTCTCTTTCCTTGCCCTGCCATCCAAAAAACTACTTTACCTCTGATTAATGGAGAGATTCTGTTAAAATAAAAACATTTATGAAAAAAAGAAAATATCTCATTGCTCAAAAAACGGGTAGAGAAACGAAAGAGGGAATATATTATTAACTCTAAAGAGTATAGTTTTTTCTTACAACAGTGCTTTAACATTTAGGTTTGTTTTTCACTTAAGCTGTTAGTTAGTTTATCTAATTACGTTTTATTTAAGTGTGTTTACTATAAATAATAGGTATATTTCTCTAGATGATTCTTCATCTATGTGGATTACACCAAGAACACACTCCTCTTGGGTTGTTTTTGACTTAGGTCGACCTTTTACACTTTCTGGTGTTGGCATATTTGGTTGGTGAGTTTTCCATTGTTTACATCAATTTGTATTAGTAAACTAACAGATGTCTACATGTTTCTCTTCCTTTGATTAGTCTAGTATTACAACATGTACCTGTTTGTATTTGGATAAATCACCATTGAATGAAAGAGTTCTATTGTACCAAGAAAATAGGAATGTCTGGTAGTTATTATATCAATGGAGAAGATAATATATATGAAAGAATGACTTGAACATTTAGGTAAATAGAAAGTTTGAAACCATAATACCCTTTAAAGTAATCATTACATGGAGAGTAATGATAATACCCTTTAAAGTAATCATTACATGGAGAGTAACATTACTCTCCATGTAATGATTACTTTAAAGGGTATTATCATTACTCTCCATGTAATGATTACTTTAAAGGGTATTATCATTACTCTCCATGTAATGATTACTTTAAAAAGTATTATTATTACTCTCCATGTAATGATTACTTTAAAGTGTATTATCATTACTCTTCATGCAATGATTACTTTAAAGGGTATTATCATTACTCTCCATGTAATGATTACTATAGATGGGGACATTGGAAAGTTACCCTACATGTAATTATTACCAAATATGGGGACATTGAAAAGTTACTCTCCATATAAGATTACCAAAGATGGGGGCATTTAAAAGTTACCATATAAAGATTACAATAGATGGGAACTTTGAAAAGTTATTCTCAACATAATGGTTACCTTAAATGGGAAATTTGGAAAGTTGATGTGTGTTTCTTTATTCTAGTCTTGTTGTTTTGAACTTTCTCCTGTGAAAAATGTTGAGATGGATTTTTGTTCATTACTCTTCTAAATGCTTTGCTTTACAAGCTTTCCTTCTTTTTTGTAGAATATTAAAGATTTCTTTCTTCACAGGAACAGTGAGCAAATGCCAAGAAGGTGTTTGTTGCAAAAAGCTGAAAATTTAGAGTAAGTAAGTTATTCTAACTGTTAAATTAAACTGTAAAACTTGTTATGTAGTATATCGGTACACACTTTTGTTCATAAACTGGTTATTAAAACTGTAAAACTTGTTATTTATTGTATCGGTACACACTTTTGTTCATAAACTGGTTATTAAAACTGTAAAACTTGTTATTTATTGTATCGGTACACACTTTTGTTCATAAACTGGTTATTAAAAGTTTTACAGTTTAATTTAACAGTTGTTATGTAGTGTATCGGTACACACTTTTGTTCATAAACTGGTTATTAAAACTGTTAAATTAAACTGTAAAAGTTGTTATGTAGTGTATCGGTACACACTTTTGTTCATAAACTGGTTATTAAAACTGTTAAATTAAACTGTAAAACTTGTTATGTAGTATATCAGTACACACTTTTGTTCATAAACTGGTTATTAAAACTGTTAAATTAAACTGTAAAACTTGTTATGTAGTATATCAGTACACACTTTTGTTTATAAACTGGTTATTAAAACTGTAAATTACTGAACCAAGGAAAACAAAGACAGTTGTACATTTCATGAATTATGTTAAACTGTAAAACTTCCAAGACAAACTTGTTCACATTGTTTGTTTATAAAGTGAACTTTGTATAATAGTAATCATTCATTTCCAGAGAAACAGATTAAAATCCTATATTTGTTATGTGTTACAGGATCACGTTACCATAACGGACATATGTATGTATAAAAATGGATTAATTAAAAAGTTAAATATCCTCTAACTTACACATAATTTTAAGTTTCTGTTGATCAACAATTGTAAGTATATTTTGAAGAAAGATTTATGTGCACAGATTGGGTTTGATTCTAAAGTAAACTGTTATCCATGTGTTTACTGATTTCTTTTTATTATCTAAGGAAAACAGATATATAACTGAGGATGAAGTTTACCTGTTAACATAACTTATAATGGTGTGAGATTAGAATGTTACATTTTCTTGCCACCAGGGGACCATGGTTCAATGTAAGGATGTTACACTGTTCACAAACAGGTCCGACAGATCCTACATCACCAGGTTTGTTTACTTAATATAAGCTTATGTAATCTGTTACTTGTAGATAAAATTACTGAAATATGGTACGATGATATAAATATTGTTACGTCTCCGTTCGTTAATTAACTTTCCGTAACTTCGTTCCGACGAAACTTTAGCGACACAAGTCCTTACCTAATAAAACTGGTTTATTCTTTCCAAATACAACTTTCCGATACACTTATTTTCAACATTCGCGCTAAAAGAAACACTATAACGAACGAACATTAACTTCAACAATACCCTGTGACTGCAGATCAATTACTCACTATCTATTATTATTGTCACGTCA